ACTATAAGAAAGCACAGTATTTCAATTTCTTTATTAAAAGTATTTATTTTGAGTTAGTTATTCTGTAACTGGGTTAAACTCTCAACTCCTTTGGAAACTTTATCAGATAGTGGTCCTGACTTCCAATATACTGTACCCTATAGGATCAGAGACCATCATGATGGTTCTGATGCAATGCCTATTTGTTTATGCTCCCACCATTATCATTTATTCTTGGTAGTTTATCGTTATTACTCAGTTTATTTCTTTTTATTTCTCACCTTTAAGCACCTTTCTGTTCATATTCAAGTTTTAACATCACTGGCTATTAAATCAGCTCATTTGATGGCCTTTCCTTCATTTACTTCTCTGTACCTCTAGATTAATGCTGATTCCTACTTCGGTTTTGTTTAAGACAATGATATCATTGAATCAAATAATCCAGTGGACTGGGTAAACCTTAAAATCAAGCTAACTTCAAATTCTTTCCAATATTTGTCAATAATCTAGAAATATGAGTTTTGACTTGTTGGTTGTTCTACTGTTGAGTGTGTTACTCAAAGGCCTTACTTTGGTTAGATTTTTGTTCTTGTGTTGATATGGTCTGGACCGAGTCATGTAAAATAGACTAAGAAATGCTGTTGTCTCACTTATTTCAAGATATGTATGTTGTATTTCTTCTAATGACCTTGATTTAATCAGGTAAAATTGGATGGCCGAGTCTCCTTGATGCATAGATTATCCAGTCATCAGAAACCTGTCTCCTATATTTCATGGAGCCCTGATGATCAACAATTTCTTACTTGTGGAGTGGAGGAGGCAATGAGACGATGGGATGTTACGTCTGGTGAATGCCTCCATATTTATGAAAAAATTGGCCTTGGTTTTATCTCCTGTGGATGGGCTCCAGATGGAAAAAGGATATTTTCTGGTGTTACTGACAAAAGTATCAGTATGTGGGATCTGGAAGGGAGAGAAGTAGAATGTTGGAAAGGGCAAAGAACTATCAGGATATCTGACTTGGGGATAACTAGGGATGGGAAACATCTAATTACTGTCTGTAAAGAGACTACGATACTGTTATTTGGATGGGAATCACGGTCTGAGAAATTAATAGAAGAGGGTCAAAATATAGTATCATTTGCTTTATCCGAAGACAGCAAGTTTTTGCTTGTCAGCTTGTCAAACCAAGAGATCCATCTTTGGAATATAGAGGAAGCTATAAATCTAGTAGCCAAATTCAAAGGTCACAAACATTCTCGTTTTGTTCTAAGGTCCTGCTTTGGTGGACTAGATCAAGCATTTGTTGCTAGCGGAAGTGAGGACTCAAAGGTGATTTCTCTTCACATGTAGTTCTTTGAAGTTTATTTTGTTCCCGTGCAATTTTCCATCGCCTTTTATGTTTTTTTTAACTTTCCATTTGATATGCGCATAAATAACTCTGGTAAAAAATGTTGAACACTTCATCTAAAGTTGTTAGAGAAGGGATAAGTATTCAATTTTCATATTAAATTGGGACCTGAAATGTGCAAAATTTTGTAGATGGGTAGTGCGAGATTTTAATTTAGGACCTTTGCGGCTTTGCTTGCCCTTTTAATCAAAAAGTGAATGTTTTTCTCCAATATTTTCGGGCTTCAAGAAGTGTTCATTACTTTGAGAATTCTATTATTGGACCAAGATAATGGACCAGACTCATGCTGCCACCGATTTTTACCTTTAATATAGATTCAAATTGTATGCTCTTGGTGTATTTCCAATATCCTAAATGATGTTTAGATGGCTAATTAGCTACTACTTTGGTCATAGTCATTCACATAAACAGACATGAAATGAGTAATGTAATAGACTTATGCATGTACTCCAATTTGTATATTTGGCTAAGCTTAAAAGAAATACTTGTAATTAAATAATTTTTATTGGTCATAGTTGAAAATAAATAAGCTTACATTTTGGGGCCGAAGTAAGAGCTACTTCCAAGTTAAGTTATTTTTTTGTTTTAATTTGAATAAAAAATTAACATATCCAAGCAGAAGTTTGGAAAACAAAAAGTTTCTAAGAAGTATGTGTACCTTTTTGTAAGCTTAGCCAAACATGATCTTCCCCATGACAAAACTATACTGTCACCATTCTGACTTCAACCCACCACTATTGTCACATTCGTTACCTTGCTGGCCAGCTCTCCATCACTACCAGTCCCCTGCCACTACTAGCCTCCACATGAGGAAATGCATATGTTTGTTAAAGGTTACACGCTGTATTTTCTGTACATATATCACTCATGTATACGCGACAGTGACACAAAATTCATAAAAAAAGTATTGTTTGTGAGAATATATACTTTGGCAATGTTTTCTAGCTATTTCTCTTTACCCTGTTTTTCTTTGTTGGGGGACATGGTGAGTAGGTTGAGGATGGCTTAAAGGCCTTAAAATATCAAGTCCACAAAGGGATATTTAGAAAATAATGGAAAGTTGAATAGTCAATTCAATTTTAAAATATTTAAAAAGGTCCGTGTCTATTTACATTTGCTACGTCTGTTATTGTTTTATGGCATGCATATAGTTTAGACGGAGTTTCATATATAATAATTATTATGAGTTGCTGAAGTTACAAGATGAAATGTCTACAGGCAAGTTGGTCATATTATTTTTCCTTATTCCGATCTTTAGTTATAACAGGGTACCAGATAAAGGTTGAACTACAACCACAGTTGGAATCTGTATTCTGTGAAGTTATTATTTTCATGTAGCCACACATTGGAATGGCATATCCTGTCCCAGTTCTTGAAATAATCCTGTCTATGATTCATCTGGTCACAATCATGTTCATTTAAGCAAACTAAGTTATGACAAGATTTGAAGAAAGCCTTCCGTCCTGGTCATAGTTTTCTAAGCTGTAATAATCATGATTGCATATAAATGCCCTATAATCCTTTTAATTGGGTGCTATCCAGAGTGTTAATTGTTTAGGTACAAGAACTGGTAGGTGAATTGCCTCTTACTTGGGATAGTGTACAGGATGGAAGGGATAGACTTCTTTTGGAAAGTTTTATTTGAGTGAATATCCATAATAAGTAGGATTGTGTGGACCGTATGTGCAGGTGCCTACATCTCTATGAGAGAAAAAAATAAAGAAAACAAATATAATGAAAATTCTCATTAAATCATACATAATTTTCTACGAAAAATGCATTTAACGATTTACTTTCCTATCCATGCTTTTCCACGAAACATCAACCTTAGGTATCTTATCATTTATGAGCACAAGGTATCTCATGTATATATATATTTTTTTCCTTGGGAACACTTGTTGACATCTCGTATCAACAATTCCTAGGGGTAGCCAAATACTGTATTGGTAATTGTTATCTTAATTCCACTTGACTCTTGTCCCATATTCAGTTTTCATGGTTCAAGGTGTCTAAGAGTCTGTTTGGTACGCATTAAAATGAGAGAGTGCATTTTTTTTAACTGAGGTGATGGGGAATATGTGGTTGAAAATGAAGGAAAATTATTGATGTGATGGAAAATATTATTTTATTGAAGAATGTGTGGTTGAAAATAAGTAGAAGAATGAGAATAAAAAAAATAATGTGGGTCGAACAGGGGCTAAATGTTCAAATAGATTGATGGATTCTTGGAGGATACTTACTGGTTTCGTTTGATAAAATAGATGCAAAACTGCATATTTCTGCTCTTGGAGAGTTGCTAATGGTTTCACCGTCTGTAGGTTTATATATGGCACCGAGTCTCAGGAGAGCTCGTTTTGACATTATCTGGACATTCTGGGGCAGTCAACTGTGTTAGTTGGAATCCCACTAATCCTCATATGCTAGCTTCGGCAAGTGATGACCGTACAATTCGCATATGGGGCTTAAATCAGGTAAGTTTGAATCACGATGATAGACACAGTAATGGCATCCACCTTTGCAATGGTGGAACTTGAAGTAGGGGACGAGAAAGCAGTCTATCATTGTATTTATTAACAAATTGCTTTATGTAAATTCTTTTACTTCAATATTTCAGTTGACATATTACAACCAAGAATGTGAACATGCATTCACCGTGTCAATAAATTGTGTACTTCGTTTCAGTCAGCTGGCATATTTTATTCTATATGAAGCGCTGATCAATGACCAAAAAAGCTGGTGATAACGATGGAAAATGGGAATGATAAATTGTGAATTGTTAATGCCTCTGTCACATGGATGCACACGTGCAATAAGAGCACCTGTTTTCGTCTAGTCCATGGGTTAAAATACACTGCTGGTAACTGAAGTTCTAAAGAAATTCCGTGTTGGTCGGTTGAACTTCGTTTTGTTACAACTTGGTAATCTTTATTTCGAGTTAGTCATTCCATCTATATTCATTAGCTTGATTAACAGAAAAGGTGACGTGACAGTCTATTACATACTTTCTTGGGCAACTAGGTTGTCAACTAAATTGTCATGTCGCCTTTTCCTTTAATCAAACCATGGATGGAATGACCAAATTATAATGAACGTGGAAGTTCAACAACCAACTTGGAACAAAATAATTTCATATTCGGCTACATTTTCCTTTTTCCATGTTTTTGCTTCTTGCATCAGTAAGTTGAGTTCTCATTATTGTTCCATGTTTTGGTACAAGTTTCGTCCACTTTTTTTGAGTTGTAAAATCCCCGTCATAGATGTGAATTGTGACTCGTTTTTCTTATATGCAAAACGAGTATGAAGTAATTAACGAATTATTAGAGAGTGACAATCGGCTTCTTTTTGTCTGTCTTTCAAATTTTATGTTCCTCGTTGTAAAAGTAAGTGAAAGAACTACACAGTTTCTTGCTCTTCAAAATGTTAGATTGGATTGTTGTAAAAGTTAGAGATTTCAGCCGATAGGTTAACTAACTAAACAACACGAGGACTTATATGCAAAAAGAGAGTGCTCAATTATCCACATTATCTGTCTTCACAAAGTTCAAGCAACTCACTTGATCAAAGATCATATTTATAAGTAAAATTACATGAAAATATTCCACGTCCTATATCAAGCAACACTGAATGAAGTTGCTGCGCTCTCCACAAATTTCCTTGCACCTTTGAACCATCTCTTGTCTCCAGCTTGAGCCTTGCAAATGTAAAGCTTCCCATCAGACACACTGGCTGAGATCAATTGGTGTTTGCCGCCCTCCTCTCCATCGGCCGTCCTTGTCAGCACCGACAAGAAATAGTACTGTTTCCCACCAATAACTGGGGTGTCTGTCTCCAGTATGTTTGCAGTTGCCACAGCATTGGGATCAAATCCACCCTAAAATTATAATTTCAATCAGATTCCATAAGATGATTTATATGGAAATGAAGGGTTCAAAAATGCATATATAACTGTAGTCGGTTCTTGCAACAAGGTATGTTTCTGATCCAATAGTGATTTACCTCTGATTCGGTTTTCCCAAAGTAGGCTTGTTTTCCTAGGAGATAGTCCACCTGAAAATTTTCACATCAAAATTTTAGTTAGCTCACCCAAGTATTCATGGAATATGATATTGAGACGAGGTCATTCAGTATAATATTATAGATAGTAGACACAAGTTTCGAGTTCGAATTTCATCCCATGTGTATCAGACTATAAATATGAATCCATTCCAACCCATATGTGGGATGCATGTTGAAGGTAACATACAGTTTAAATTTTTAGATGAGATGGTTACAAAATGATTACCTGGGTAAGGAATTTTTCAGGGGAACCAAAGTCAGTGATAGATTTCTTGTCAGTAGGGGTGACCATAACGGATACATTGCTGGTGGCATCAAAATTGTCCTCATACCTCAGAACCTGACCAGGGAACTCTCTTTCTTTGCTTGGATTCCACTTTGAGGGAATTGACAACTTGAATCCCTCTCCAGCATAAGGCAAGAAATCTGTGTTTTCCTTTGGCTTCCCAAAAATGTTAGCTGCAAGTTAATAATTCAAATTGTTCAATTAACAGACTAAATCTCAGGTCACGCTCATAGACATGCACGGATTTGAATTATTACCGGCTTGGCCGTAGGCTGCATCGGCAGGGGAAACCTTGGAGCCTATAGCAGCAGCACCAATTAGAACAGTGAGAGCCAACCTGCGAGATATAGGCAAAGCGTTGGTGTCATCATCCTGTTTCTGGGCACGGCAAACTAACTGGCTAGGCTTGAGGGACGGGGCGAAACCTTGAGAAGAAGATCTGGTGCGGGTAGAGAGTACATTGGGATTCAAGAAGCATGCAGTTGTAGCCATTCTCTGCTCTTCCTTTGGCTTGTGATTTGTGATTATGGTTTGCGCCTGCGAGTGATATGGAGTGGGATAGTGTTGATTGATGTGTTCCTTTGTGGGCGAAAATGGATGTTACGTACGAAGTGGATATTGGGAAGATTAGATTCTTGATGAAGGATAAGGTTTTTGAGGCTTTAATTGGTGCCAAGCTGTCACGAGTTTAAAATGTAATCTCCAAGTCCTGAGCTTGGGTCCCATGAAATATTTTCTTTCTTTTGGATTCAATATGATCCATTGGGTAAGTGTAAATCAATTCTCGCAAGTGAAAAATTTGTTAAATGAAAAGCACTTCATTTCACCTTCGAAATTTTGTGAGGAAGTATCATTAGACACTCCATGTTCTAAAAAACGTGAAAACGCGCCGCCTAGACGCGACGCGCGTCCAAACTGCGTCGAATTCGAGAAATGCGGGAAAAATGCGTTTTCTATCTAAAAGGCGAGCCTAATGCGCTCCTAGGCGCGACTAATGCGTGCCTAAACGCGCATCATCCCGCCTAATCCCCCTTTTTTTTTTTGAGTTTAAAATGTAATCTCCAAGTCATGAGCTTGGGTCCCATGAAATATTTTCTTTCTTTTGGATTCAATATGATCCATTGGATAAGTGTAAATCAATTCTCGCAAGTGAAAATTTTGTTAAATAAAAAGCACTTCATTTCACCTTCGAAATTTTGTGAGGAAGTATCATTAGACACTCCATGTTCTAAAAAACGTGAAAACGCGCCGCCTAGACGCGACGCGCGTCCAAACTGCGTCGAATTCGAGAAATGTGGGAAAAATGCGTTTTCTATCTAAAAGGCGAGCCTAATGCGCTCCTAGGCGCGACTAATGCGTGCCTAGACGCGCATCATCCCGCCTAATCCCCCTTTTTTTTTT